GTACATTAAGTTATTCCTTAATTACTACAGAATAATGGGAGTATCTGTTTTGTTTGTCCAGTATTTTTTCTTTACTCATTTATCTTTTCAATAATTCATTTTTTTATGTTGTCAGTTGTTGTTTTGTAACTGTTGTACGGGTCAAACCTCTCCTGCGCAAGAGTGTTCCTCTGTTATAAAAGAGAGAACCAATAAATCTTATCTTATCTTATCTAACGAGTGCATGCACAGGATATCAAAATTAAGTTGGTATCCTTCGTGAAACTATTAGGAGTAATAATAATTTTTAAAATGGCAGACAAATTCATTTTCTTGTTAAAAAAATTGTGGACCAAGATTAAACAGTACGCCTACTGTACTTCCTAAAGCAACTCTGTAGATCAGGTCTTCATACTTGGGATTCATAAAAGTGGTTTGGCACAGATAAGAATTGTTTGGTTTCCCAACATTGTATATTTAAAGGCCAACAGCGTCAGCCGACGCAGCCTGACCCGATTTATCGTCAGGGACAGTCTTAAGCCGTCGTGAGAAATATTACACACGTTTAATATTCTACTACGCGACTGCCCCCGATGCACACCATCGCGTCTGCGTTCAACTCACACAGACCCGACGCGACAACAAATCGCGTCGGGCTGCGTCGGCCAACGCTGTCTGTGTTGGCCTTAACTTGTGTCCTTCAGCAAGATACTTTATCTACATTGCTTCCCTACACCCAGAGGTATGTGGGTACCTGGTACAGATAGAATGCTAAATGCCCTGATTAGCTGCTGAATAACTCCACCAGGGAGCCAAGGTTGTGTTCCATATGTGTTTAATATGGGGTAATAATAATGTGAAGAACATAGGAGGCGGCATAGCATGATGCGCTAAATTAAAAGTCTACCATTAGTATTATTATTATTTAATTATTTCTATTGTGCCCAGATCAGACCAGTGTTGGAATATTCTTGTGTCATTTGGGTAACTTGTCTGACAAAAGTACAGAGTTATTTGTTTTGGTTTTTCTTCTCTGTTGTTGTTAAAAGCGCCTCAAGGTTGTGTCAATCCAGAATTATTATTATTATCACATCTTGAACCAATCCAATGGAGAGTATCAGGCATTGTTTTATCTGGTACACCTAATGCAACAGCACCAAGTGACCACATTCCAACACTGGCTATCGTCACCTCTCATTTTGCCAACAATATTTTTCTTAAATTAAAATCACCATCTTACAGACAGCATTCATAGTAATTACCTTCAGCACCAGTACTACATAATTACAATCTTAGACATAATTGACAGTTTCTTTTCCTTTAAGTGAACACCGAGAGATTTTAATCACAAGGAATATTTTTAGGATGGTAAGGGCCTTAGAGGTTGATTGTGATTGAAACTCCAATCTATGTAAACAAATATAATAGAATCCAATAAAACGATGACTATTGGTTTAGGGTGGCAAATGAATCACTTCTTAACTTGTAAAACATTTTGAAAATATGCAAGGAGATCAGGTCCAAAGACCATAGCTACAGGGTTATTATATCTTGGCAATCACTGTTATTATTTGTTAAACATTCATGTTTGTAATTTCTAAATGTAAATGTTTTTTTTAAATACATCTCCAAAAAAAAAAAAATTGTATTAAACATAATATTATTAGAAATTTAAAAAAAATCAATAATTTGTTTATAATCATCCTAATTATTTTGTATAAATACAACATAAAAATAAACAAAAATTTAAATTATACAAGTAACATTAAGGACATTGTCAAAGAAAAACTGATAGACTTACCTCTGTAGGGGATTTGCCCATAATGTACATGCCTCCCAAACCTTCTCGCCGGAAGTAGCTTCCATCTGGTTGGATAACAAAAGGGCAATCTAATAACGGCCCATCCGGTGCATGACACACGTAAATGTAACGTTTCCTCGGTTCTACTGGAATCGGTAAGTCGAGCTGATCCTCTGCTGTCCCCAGCCCAATGTCAGCCATCATTCCAACTTCCTTTGAAGATGCTCCTGCTGCCACAATGACGTATGAACAATTTACAGTATTCACTTCTGGACTATTTAGCATTGCCACCTGCAGAAAATAACATTTAGGCCTAGTTCAGTCTACAGTAGGTGGATAAACCCGGCTCAACTCACCGGGCTTACCCACCTTCCAGTCTGAACTAGGTGGCTTATTTTAAGTCTGGCCTTGTTCCTATAGTAACTAGGCCTGACGTGCCTCTGGGTTTAACTATTCTAAGCTGGGCTTTAACTGCTGTGGGGGTCTCGCATTGACCTCGGTTAAAAAATGACCAATCAGCACTCAATTACGTGTCCTCAAAGCGGACACATGTTTCGTGTGCAATGTTTCAAAAATCGTTTCCTGGTTATGGTTCATTAATATGCAAATTCTCGGGCCTGCCTAATCCAGCTAGTCTGAACACCCGGAACAGTTAAGCCAAGCTAAACCTGGAGCCTGACTTATCTTCAAGTCTGAATTAGGCCAAAAATGGATACAGATATTATAATTTTATTACAAACATTTGAGCCTATTTCTTGTTCCATGGTGGAATTAAAACATTTAACACAATTATAGAGGTACAGTAGTTTTGTCCATTCATTCATCTCTTAAGACGATGATGTTGATCGAATTATAACCAAGAATTTATAGGATAAGTTCAATAAAAAAAAGTTTGTTTTAGGATGAAGGCCCATACATCCCGGAAGCAGTTTAGCACAGCTGTGACAGATTGGTATTCCCAATCTCGACGTCAGGGATTCAATTCCTCGCTGTCCATTTCAATTGAGTCCTTGAGCAAGGCACTTTATCTGCATTGCTTCAATTCACCAATGAGTTCAAATCAGTACCTTTTTGGGTTGCCCGCTATTGTGCCATTATGGGCACACTTGTATGTGGACCAAGAATTCTGCAAACTTTGCTGTTCACTTCATTATAACTTGTGGTTCTCCCAACATGGTTTTATGTTGATTGTAATGCTGGTTCCTAATAATCAAGATTTTATACTAATAACATGCCATTTCAAAAATATACTTGATTATACTGTATGTATTAAGACTTAAATGGTGTACAGCCCCTAACCGGGTCAAATTTTAAGCCCAAATACCGATGCAACATTATTGAATATTTGCAGTCAGCAAGTGTTATGAGACTATGAAAACTGGTGTAGGATTAATTTTTAATAATGATGGTAAAATTAGGTATTTTATATAAACAATAACTGTCTGTGGACAAACACTGGACAACAGTCATGCACAATACATTTGCTTGTGAATGGACAGGCAGAGTTACAATACAAGCTCTCTATGCATAATAGAGCTCAATCACTTTGTAAACACTCAACTGACCTGTACTCCTTTGACCCTACGACCACATCCTCCATATGAATTACATTCACTCGGACTGACGTGGCTGAAATCAAATCCAGTGACTTCTCCATCAATGTACCTTGCACCGAGAGATGTAGCCTTTTTACGGAATGCAGACAGAAGCGACCAAGGGTCAAACCAGCCCTCATTCTGGAAACCTTCGCAAAACACAATAAAAGCTGTTTGAACTATTTGCCTGTAACCAGTGGGGCTTTGGGGGTCTGGCCGCTTTTTCCCCTTTTTTGACAGTTTTACTAATATAATAATTTAGTGGTATTTTATCATAAACTTTATTAAATATTAAAATTATTCTGAGTTCAACTTGGAATATAGGAAACCTAGCTACAGGCCTGCACAGGGACAGATTTATGTGGACCGACCTGGCCCGCCCCCTCCCCCCCTTTTGGGAGGTAAAAAAAGAAATATAAAAGAAAGAAAAAGAAAAAAACGATAGCCCAGAACGCCTCAAATGTTATATTCGGGCGTCTAGAACACAACAATTTCTCGGGGGCATGCCCCCGGGCCCCCTTGGGACAGTGTTGTGTCAATTAGCCCAACTTTCGGGTCCCTCCCTCCCTTTTGGACATCTCTGGATCCGCCCCTGCTGCATGCCAGTGCTTCATGCTGTACAGTGAATATAGGTTTACCTTACTAAGATTCGAAATTTTGAAAAAAATTGGGGGATAAACAAGTAAAAATGGATTAACAAGGGGAACGAACCAGACAAAATGGATTAACAAGGGGAATGCACACAAGGCAACTGCTTCAATTTAGGAACCTATTGGTTGCTATTGATGTATAACACCAAAGATACTAGAAATACAAGATAGAGCACTCGCATAGCAAAAATTGTATTCCCACCATGCATTTCGGTGGAAAACTTTTTTTCCGTGGAGAACTCTATCTTGTGTTTCTACTGTAGTATCTTTGATAACACACAGGAACTCAGATTTTAAGAACAGACACAATAAAATACCCATACAGATTCCCCAGTGGTACATCTAAGATTTTAAAAAGGGATGCTGAATAGAAATATTATATGCACTGAATCTTAGCCAAGGAACAAAACTAGACACTGGAGTATATCGATGGCTAGGACTACACTGTAAATTGGTTGTTAAAAGTTTGAAGTAATTTACAGTACTTTGCCATTTATTTCCATTATTTCACTAATTATTTTAATTCACTATTACACCACTGGCCCTTCACATTGATGAAAACCATTAGGTAATACTTTTGTATACTCTACCTATGCACTGCAATGTCTGCCAATGATAACATACCGTATGAGGCAAGTGCGATGTCACTCGTGTTCAACCAAGGATGTCTAGCCTTTAGCTGTGTAGGTGATAATAACTCGACTTTAGCTCCAAGCTCTCTGAAATACAGTATACACAATAGTTACATATCAGTGTTGCTTGAGTGACAAATCTATTGGAGGGAGATGGTATCAGGCAATGATGGCACTAGAAATTCCCTATGAGGGTTCAAAACTAAATTCTCTGAATGTTTGTGTGGTGCATTTATTTTTTTTGGTCTTTCTTTTTCTAGGTTTTAGTGAGATGCCATTGCTACTTCCACAATAGGAATTACTGTGACCCCTCGCTGGCACAGCAACTAGTAGCCTACTGTATATATCGTCAGAGGAATAACATTTAGATGACAGTGTGCTTTTGAAACTTGCATTTTAGCCCTAGTGAAACACAAGGAGAGCAGAGATGGGTATTGAACTGGGGACCAAGGAATCCCCACGGTTCAGCACCGACCACCAGTTTAGTCAACTGAGCCAGCTGCTCAGGTTTAGGTCAACAACAGGGCCGGTGGAGCGTTTTTCAAAGTTGGGGGGGGGGGGGGGGGGGGGGGGAGGGGGCACTATTAAGATGAAAGGGAATATGAATTGCGAGGGATACAAAAAATATGCAGACATTATATATTTTCTGCCAAAAAGTGGGGGACCCGGGCCCTCCCCCACTCTCCGATTCCGTCAGCCATGGACAAGCTTATTACCTTGTTTCTCAAGTAAGACAAAGACATGGATAATTTTACTTGTTTGACTTTATGCTGATGCTGCACAACACATGGTAATTTGGAAACACTCCAGACATGTCCCTAAACACGAATTTGATTTATCACCTAACTTTGATATTCAATATAAAATAAATTACAAAGTCAATAGCTTTTTGCAGGTACTTATTATAATGAACAATTCATTAAATTCTTTCTGCTCTATATTTGTACCATTTTGATCTGATTTTAAACAATTGATGTAGGTACTATTTTATTGTAAATGTTGTATTAAAATCAGCTTCTCGCTGTGATAACAATATTGTCAATAAACCTACAATAATAATAAACCATGTCCACGCTTTACAAGTGTGAAAACTGGAGAAATTTAGAACCCAGTGGAGTAGGTATGGGCAGTGTAGCCAGTGCAAAAACACTAGGGCCAGGGCCTATTGGGGGCTGTTCAATAGGCATGTAGATCTAAAAATATAACTTTAAAAATTCCTACTTAAATTTGCCCCTCAATAATATTAGGTTTTATAGGCCATAATTATAGTTTATTTTCATATGTATAGGCAGTCACTGGGCCTGGGCCTATTGGGGGCCTGATCAATAGGCATATTTGATCTAAAAATATAAGTTCTTTAAAAATTCCTACTTAAAATTTCCCCTCAATAATATTAGGTTTTAGAGGCCACACAGTAATTATAAAATATTTTCAATTATAATTTACCTATTACATGCCATAAACACTGCAAGTAGGATGACTTTTTACAAAAAAAAAAAAAAAAAGAACATGCCACCAACAGCCTTGTACCTGTTGAATACAATCCAGCTTATTTTCTACCATTACGATGTTTTGTACCAAGGTACAATGCACTAAAATACTTTTTGAAAGCATGTTTCTAAGCAATACAAATATCGGCATGCATGTTTCTGTATAATAATTCACTGCTACCATTTATTGATTGTTCCATTCTTGTCAATATTATAATATCAGAGACTCATGAAATCATAAATAGGCCCTAAACGATAAAATATATATACTGTATCACTTTTTAATTACAATATATTTTGTTGTCAATGTCCTTGAATGTTTTTTAGTATTTCATAGATATTTATGTTTGTTGCTGTATCTGTTTTGGACAATTTCAGAATGTATCATGAGCATTAAGAGTTTCACCAAAGTACAATTAGAACCCCTCCCCCCCCCCCAGGCTCTGTCTCTGGGTCCTATCAGGTGCCTTTTAGGGCCCAACAATTATCTTGACTTGGGGTCCATCACAACTTTGCTACGCCGCTGGTGGAGCCTTTAAAAATTTCTTCATGGGAACCAAAACACATTACAGAAGATTCAAGAAAATTGTCTGTAAATACATAATAAAATATAAACAGAAAATTAAAATGATGATAGATTTATATAAAAACAATTACAATTTCAATAATCCAACGATGAACATAGACAGGGTTATCCTTATTTTAATACTCACTTTTGAAGTTTGCTGTTTTCCTCTAAAATATGTGCCCCATTTTCGGTTGCAAGAAATAAATATCCGTTTTCATTGAACTGAACATTTGGGGGGTCTTCATCAGCGACACATAAATGTTCCTTAATATTATGCAAAAATTCTGAGCCATACATTGACATTTGTATATTTTCTGCATTTGTAAACTGTTGCCGTATTCCTCCGGCTGATAATGTAGTTGAACATCTTGTATACTGAAAAAAAAATAATTTGGAATTGTAATAATACTGTACTATTGCTAACAAATTGAATACTTATGATTCATAAATAAAGGTAAAGGTAGGTAATTATCTTACAGTGTTATTGTGCTCAATGGTGTATGGACACGGTAGTGACAACCTAAATTCAAAGCTGCATGTTTACATTATTCCGCACTGACATTGCTGAAATGTAACATCGGGATTGCCATCTATTTTTCTCGAAAGATGCAATGGGTTCTTTAAATTAAATAATAATTTAATAATAATTAAGTGTACATGAGCAGGTGTGTACAATGGACCAGGGGTGGATCATGAATTTTTTTAAACAGGAAGGGGTGGAGGGGGAGGGGGGTTTCAGGTGTGCACAACAATTTTAGAATAGATAAGTAAGTAGCACATAACATTAATATGCACTGAAATTTTTTATTTAGTGGCAAAAAGGGGGAACATGCCCTCGTGTCCCCCTACTGGATCAGCCCCTGTGGACTTAGTTGAGGAGGGATTTTACCAACACTAATAATTGTAGTTAGCAGCACCACTGGCTTTTACCGCTTTTATATGATCAGTTTGTTTAAGTTCAGCGCAACTAGGGGGGTGTGTATCAAGGGGCGCACACATCCCAAAAAAAGCCATGCACCTCCCCCTCACCCATTGCCCATCCCACACTGAAAATGATTAAAGCAAAAAAGTCATGCTCAAGGAGATTTTCAATCACTTCATTTTCATCCCCTTGTTTTACAAGCTAGCAACCCCTCACTTAATCAAGGTCCCCACTTAACCTTTGCAATCTCCGCCCCTCCCCCATTTCAAGACTCCCAGATAGTGCTCCTTCTCATCCCCACCCCTCCCCCACCCAAAAAAAATGACAAAGTAAAAGAAAAGAAAGGAGGAGATGGTACTCTAAAACAAGCTAATTTCGATTTGAATTGACAGGAGTCCGAAATCACCTATGTTTCCGACAAGAGTGAAGCTGCGTGTTTATGTGTCACGCAAATATGTTTCAGATCTGGTCCAAGGGGTGATTCCCGAAGAAAAAATTAGATCAGGGTTTCGAAGGCTTATTAAATTGGTTTTAGGATCTAAAATACTATAATAACGCACTTGTCAATTGTAGTCCCGCTAGGCAGATTTCCATGGAAGTTTGGAAAAGTGCAAAAAAAAAAGAGTGTGTTGATTGATCATAGAAAAAGAAAACTGATTTTTTTTTTCCCTTTGTTGTTTAAGCGCCTCAAGGTTGTGTCAACATGAGGCGCTATATAAATCCAGAATTATTATTATTATTATTATTATTTAACTGATTGATAGAATCTATTACAGTATCAAGACAGAAATTAAACAAAAAAATTAATACAGTACAAACAGATTTCCTTGGCTGGGCTCACTGGTGTATTTTTCTTATGCAAACTAGGTCAAATACACGGTTCACAAATTTTCATATCCGTGTCAGTACGGGTAAATTATGTACGTCCCAGCGTTACCTAGCCTAGCCTAGGTAGGTCCTGGCCTAGTCACCGTAGCTGGTGGTAGGCTTAATAATTAAGCTAGTCCTAGAATTACTGTACACAAACCTTTGAATCTTTCTCAACGACCAGAACAGACATATTATAATCATGTTTCTTTAAGAAGTAGGCTATACTGGAGCCCATCACCCCGCCGCCAACAACTACAACATCCACGTCTGGAGGCGGACGATGCTTTTCAGGCGAGCTGTCTATGATGGCATTGCCATGGCCTAGGCCCACAAGGCTAGAACTTCCTCCGTAAGTCTTGGAGGAACCAAATTCATTTCGTTTATGTAGACATAGACTGAAATGTCTTTGTGAAATACTAACAAAGATTCTTGGAAATGTCCGAAAAATAACCTTGAGTGTCATTCCCGTTTGGCCAAACTTAATAACACACACAACTTGCAACACTCACGTGTAATCATCGAGTAAAAATGTAAACAAATCTAAAATTCACAATCAGCAACAGTTCCAGTTAGAACCAGTAGTAATCTAGTACAGAGTAGTAGTAAATTCATGAATGCGTAAAATCCATTAACTTACCAGGGGTTTTAGCGGCTCTAATTGGAACTGATACTAATATTATTGTACTATTATTACAGTAACAATTATTATTGTCACAGTAGTAGTCTTTCAAGTACAATAGACAGCAGTAGATAGTACTGGGTTTAAATGTGCCTCAGATGTACAGAAAACTATCCATAGATTTACCTATACACTAGTACAGTATGCCTGGATTGACACGCATCAGTGCTCCCATCCACGTTAAAAAAACAAAAACAAAACACTGGAAACACATTTGCATAGCGGCAATTTCCCCCCACCCCCCAGAACGAAGACGAAAGACAGAAATTATTGTCAACCCAAAACCTCCAAGGAAGATAATTGTCATTAGGCAGGAATATACGACGTACCACCAGTTAAATGTTAAAATGATTACAGAGAAGTTGCTCTTTGCTTTTTCAGTTCCGAAGTTTGAACATTTTTTACGAGTGGGTGGGGACGTAGCAGGCCCTTATTTAGGAATTTCAATGTGGGGGCGGGGTTCGGCTTGGAACTGCGGTACCTTATCAAAACCCACATACTTCTTCTTCTCTCCCCTAATTGGGTACTTTATTCAGTGTGATATGCCTAGGTCGGATATGTGTTTGGTTGCAAAATTTGGTCGGAGAGGTATATAACGTCAAACCAACATTTGAATTTCACGTTGGCACAAACGTATGAATATATTTGTCGATTTTCCGATGTCGTCCCAACGTTGGTAAGCTGTCGTAAACATTCAGTCTGACTACGGACGTTGTACAACGTCACGATTTGTTACTGGCCCGACGTCAGCAAACGACTAAAAAGATGGTTGGGTACTACCGTTGGCTAGAGGTTGTAAACTGTGGACGACCAAAAAAAAAATGGTTTGTGTGGGAATCGAACACACAACCACCAGGTTTTGCTATACATTATCCACCATCAATTGAACTGCCTTTAAAAAAAAATGGTTTGTGTGAGAATCGAACACACAACCTCCAGGTTTTGCTATTCATTATCCACCATCAACTAGACTGCCTTAAAAAAAATTAAAAAAAATAAAAATTAGTTCGTGTGGGAATTGAACACACAACCTTCAGGTTTCCCGTAACATGATTAATCTATTTGAATTTTTAAAAACATTTTTGTCTATTTTTAAAAAAGTGCTTAAGTTATGGAGAAAAAAAAATCGATTATAAATTTAATTCTACATTTTTAAACAAAATAATAATAATAATAATAATTTTGGCTTATATAGCGCATTATGCTAAAGCCTCAATGCGCTTAACAGTAAAAATAAAATTTGGGGAAAAAAATTAAGAAAAATACAAGTTAAAAAGGTGAGTTTTTAAAGCTGCCTTAAAATCATAAATGGAAGTTGCCTGTCGGATTGTATAGTTTGACACCATGACCATGCGTAATATTAACCTGCAGTGTATACATACGAAGAATTTTTTCAAGTAGGATCAGAGTTGACTAACTGGTACTTGGTGTGGTACTAGTTTTATCGCCTTTATGGCTTAGGGGCCGCGGTTTACCTCCCTTTATAAATATTAGATGTGATTGTAGACGTTGTTGGCCCGACGTCGGTAAACGTTTTAAATGGTGGTTGGTTAAAACCGTTGGCTCGACGTTGGTTAGAGGTTGTAAATATTAGAATGTGATAACGGATGTTGTCGCAACTTCGGAGTACTTTGTTGGCCCGACGTCGTCGGTAAACGTTAGTGAAGGTTGGTTACAACCGTTGGGCCGATGTTGGTTAGAGGTCGATCCAGAGGAACCATTTTTTTCCCCTTTAAGGCAGTTTAGTTGATGGTGGATAATGAATGTATTGTACTCGTTGATGACGTCGCGAAATAACAACAAGCAACAACGTGTCATGTCCGAGCCTAGGCCGTCATGGAAGCTCACTGGCTCCTGTGTAATTCATGTTGAGCCAACTGCAGGCGAAAAGGTTACAATCTTTTCAGAGATAAGCTGGAAGAAGGTTTTAGACAGTGCCCATCAATGGAAGGATTTTAATACTGAGGAATGTAAGTTAGCGAAGTCCTGGCTTGCTTAACCGTTTTTCTTCGATCGTCGCTTCCAACCGTCTAGGTGCGTCTAGCCTAAAGAGGGCCTACATAGCAGGTGGAGATCCATGAAAAGTCGTATATAAAGATGTTACCCCGGCACATTTTTATATTTGCACAAGTAATTAAAATTGCTTATTGAGCAGATTAATCACACTGATAAACAATTGTACTACATACTACATTGATGCAACAACCATGTGGAGCTGTGAAAGTCCTTTCTGGGCCCCTCTATTTCACTGGAACAGTCATTACTTTATGTTATAAAATTGAACAAATCGAACAATCCAGCCATCTCGAGAGGTACTATTTCCTCAAATTTTCTCACCTCAGCCCCAGTCATGGTGGGGCTGAGGTGGTTGTGGAATCACGTTTTTGAAGTAGGCCTATGTAAAGTACATACTCAAAGACAATGTTTAAGCTTTTGTTTGTTTGTTTTGTTTTTTTTTTTGCGCTTCATATTGACTAATGGTGATGTGATGATGATGAGTTTTACTAAAAATGTCATTTCTGGCCATCTAGAGGTGTGACAGTATTTCCTCAACTCATCTCAGCCCCAACCATGGTGGGGCTGAGGTGGGTGTCGACTCACAAAATGCCCTCCCCCTCCACCTTTCAAAACAGATCTGTCCTGATGTATGTCTTAGTTATTGCTGTTTTTGTTTTTAGAATGTGATCTGGTTTTTCATGTCCATGTTTCGTGATTATGACTATCCTGGATAAAGAATGTTTTGAGCAGAGGTGGATTCAAGGCCACACCCCCAACCCCTTCATTTTTTAAGAAAAAAAAAAAGAAAAATATATTCAAATTGAAGTGCGAGTGTGTAATTTCCGGCCGTCTAGAGATGCCCTAATGATAAATTTTCTTTCCTCAGCTCCAACCATGGTGGGGCTGAGGTGAGTGGTTCCTCAATCTGTGAATGTCCCTCCCTGGTTTCACCTCTCTTTCGAATTCCTGGATCTGCCACTGTTGATTTATTATATAATTATTTTTGCGCTTATTTATAATGCGTCTATTGCAATTTTCACTTTATCCTCTCAAACAGTCCTAAGAACGTTCAGAGTGCGCTACTTCACGGGGGAATTCGTCCCCCTCCCTTGACTCCGCCGAGGTCCTACGTAATTCGCATAACGGCTTCCCCCCACCCTTTCAAAATCCTGGCTACGTCCTGGATTTGAGCTGTAGAGTGGAAACACATTCTTCTTAGGTCAATATCAAAATAAGGATATTTCTCTTGGACAGATGAGAGCTCCGATCCCTGGACAGACAGTATATTTCCAACATTAATCTGTTTACATATTTGTCTATGTCTAGTCCTACTCCTCTTTTTCTTTTTTTTCGACCTTAAGCACATTCTCATCTGCGTTTTCAAGAAAAATACAATGATCCTGCCATCCATAGGCTAATCTCAATCGGCCGATGGCCAACAAGCTAACCACTACCCACCACTAATTGCATCTGCTATTTTGCTGTTATGTAAATATTCACGCATTCTTGTTATGAGCAGTTTTCTCTGGACAATTATCTTTTATAACCATCATTCGTAATGTCCTTATATAATCTTTTTTTCATTCAAAAAGTGCCTCTTGAATTTTTAATTATTAAAATAACTTCCCATAAGAACCCCTCGATTTTCATCTATATTTCCATAAGCGCCCTTCAATTTCCACTCTGTTTTCATAAGCGCCGTTTAAATAAGCGCCCCGTTTGAATAAGCGCCCCTCAGAAAGTGATAACAATATTTTAAGCGCCCGGGCGCTTATTCGCGCGAGTACTGTAATCAACACATAACATGACAGTATCATTTTGGTATGAAAAAATGCCTTGGGTCGTCACAGAATGTGCATTCTGAATGTGGGTCGCAGGTTGAGAAGCAGGGGTGTAGACATAATATTGTGCGATTGTCAATGAACTCTGGATCCTCTAGTAACCAACATCCATCCATCAGCAGCAGCAACAGCGATGAAGGAATGGGGTGCTGACATTTTCCCAATGTATCTGTGCTTCTAGACTGTTCTGCACTATCCCCAGTGGTGGTGCCTTCCACCTCCGCCCCTCCCTCAAATTTGTCAAAATTATTTTTAAAAAGAAAAGACAGTTGATAGTATAATACATACCGGTACTCCAGGTATCAAAATGCACGCCATCGTGTCGGGATTCAATATTTCGACATTAATAATAATTATGTCATCATCAGGAATTCCTGGAGATATACTATCTTATCTGAGATTAATCTAGAGGTGACATATCATAAATTTTCTTACCTCAGCCCCAACCATATCATGGGGCTGATGTGTAGGGTAGACCCTCAAATCTGTGAAAGTCCGTCCCTAGGCCCTCCTCTCCGATCGTCTATGTCGAATTCCTAGATCCACCACTTAGGCATACAGTGGCCGATTTAAGAAGCCCGGCAGTCCTAAATTTTTCAAAATAATTTAAAAGAAATGGAGAAAAAAAAATGATATTTATATTGCATGAGAGTTGAAATTTACGGTCATTTGGAAATGCCATAATCATAAATTTCTTCTCTCAGCCTAACCATGGTGTGGCTGGGTAGTTATCTGTAACAGTCCCTCCCTGGCACTCTTTTCAAATTCCTGTATCCGCCACTGAAAACTGTTTAATACCTGCAATCCATCTTCAGAAATCTATTAAATACGACCTCAAATATTGACCTCTAGTTATCAAAAATTCCTGAGATCCGCCCCCTCGATCCCAGTAGGGTTTTGCACTAGGCACCCCACCCACTGGAGCCATTTTGGTTCACTTTCTACAAATTCGCACCCACCCAATAAATATCCTGCGTACGGGCCTGCACTAGTCCAGTGATAGACTTCCGATATTACAGTTTTAAGGAGGAATCAGTAAAACAAATGTTCTATTTTGAACACAATTAACAATATTAACTTATTAGGCTCTCTAACGGTTAATGACTTTGTCCTTAAAGAATCTTTTGATGCTGCTGACCGCATTCTATACCAAACAATTTATATAATTTACGGGTTACCGATTTGTATCTTTTGATGTTGAATCTCTGTTTACAAATGTTCCCCTTACTAAGGTAATTAATATAATTCTTGATAGGGTTTACAATAAGAAACTGATATCTACCAACCTTAAGAAAAATTCGCTAAGGAAACTACTTAGAGATTGCTGTACTAAAACTGTATTTACATGTATTAATAATGAATTTTATAAACAAACTGATGGTGTCTCAATGGGTTCGCCTCTTGGCCTAGTTTTAGCTAATATCTTAATGACTGAACTTGAAGTGTCTATTGTTCCTAAACTTATTGAATCAGGTACAGTACTATTAAGTTTATACTCGTTTTGTTGCCGACAGGCTAGTATTAGCTAAGCCCAATGATTTCCCGCAAATTCTAAGCTACTTCAATGTTTCATAGACAGATAAATTTTACTTTTGAATCATTTGAAAACAGTGACACAGTACACTTTCTGGATTTACAATTTAACAACAGTGTAGGAAGCATGAGTATATATCGTATACTCATGCGTTGTCCATGGAACCATCTCCTGGATTCGTAGTTTAGTTTCTAGAGCCCACAGATTGTGTACTCCTGATAAACTTCAAACAGAGCTTAGTATGTCTTGGAATGGGTACCCTTTAAAAGTTGTTAATAATGTACTTAAGAAATTAAATGAACCTAAATGTATACATAGGCCTACTGATGATAGCTTGATTAAGATTTGGGTTAGATTGCCTAACCAGGAAAACCAGGTGAGTTCATTTTACGTAGATGTGTTTAAATAAGGTAAAGAAACACTTAATTAAAGAGGTAAAATTCATAACTTTATGGCAGTATAAAAATGTTTCTCATTTTTTTATCTACCTAAGGATCAAACCTTAAAAGAGTACAGAATTTCTGTTGTCTATCATTTTATTATATAAAGTGATCTTTTCTTGGAGGGAAAATTTTCATTTGGATCTACCAAAACCATGGTTTAAATTAAGGGAGTTTTTAAATGGAGGGAACAGCTAATGTCAAAATACAGGAATTCAAAAGGTAAATTGAAGATGGTCTTTTTTTGGAGGGGGTCTTTAATTAGAGGGAGACCTGTAATTACGAAAATATACTAATGCCCAGTGCTGATAATCTCAAGGATAATGCGGTCTATTATTGTGGCAAATGCTGAAGAGGTGAATAAGTGGAGGCTTTAGCTCAACTATAAATTGTGACAGGGGCGCACTACTGGTGGTATGATTTTTGTTATGCATTTTGGCTTCCAGTCGGGGGGGAAGGAGACAATTAACTTGGTGGGGGGGGGGGGGTAACTTTTTTGGAAGACGTGACGTGAATCCGCCATTACTATGATCAGGGAACAGCTTCAATCAATTTCACTGTTCCCTGGTATGATTATCTAAATAAAATGAACGAAAATGCAAGAACGACTATGAACGAATTAAATAAATAAATGAATAAATTGTATTTCGAACAGCCGGGCCTATAAGTAGGTGAGTGTACATCCTGCAAGTAGTGGGCTTACAAATTTATGACGCATGTGTAACGCGTCTAGACATCAGAGAGAAACTATCGCAATCGCGAGCATGTCATTGAACGACGTTTCTCCATCCATGCAGTCTTTAGGCCTTATCCTTATTAATTATAATTCTGTCCATATTGCAGAAAGTTGGTAATTATTTTTACACTAAGGTTTTATAACTACGATACGTGTTTGTTTATTCATGATATTACATATCTTTTATATGTTTAATAACTTGAATATTTTGTAAAATTAGGTAAGAAATGAACAGCAAAAGTTGGGCCGATCAAGTTGAAGAGGAACGACGTGAGTAGCATGGGAGGTCTCTCCGTCAAGAGAGTCCTCTGTCTCCCTTTTCTGTATGTAATCGAGCTAGGCTAGGGTAGGGCTAGGTCAACAGAACAGATTTATTAATCTTAAAGTTAGGCCTACGATTCTGTGCACATATGTTCCTAGCTAGCGATTTTTCATTATAATTTGAGTTAGGCTAGGCCTACCTACCTAGAGATATCATCTGCACAAATAAAATACTTTATGGCCCCCTTCATGCCTAGCCCTAGGGCCTAACTATAGGCCTCGGCCTATCATTTGCAGTAAAAAACTGAATCGAATGAGATCAGGGGTGGCGCAAGCTGAGGGGGGGGGACCAGGGACCAGGGCCCCTGTCGGGGAGAGCTGGCCCTTCCCCCCACCCCGTCGGGGACAAAAAAAGGGCAATTCGTCAGCGAGAAAAAAAAATTATATGGCGTGTATTTTCTACATATTAGTAGACACTAAAATCGATTAAATAAGCCTTTAAAACCCCTAAATTGTCAATATTTTTTAACCACTTTCAAAACTTTTTAATCCCTGCCCTACCACACCCATTTTACTTTCGTCGGGGAAATCTGATTCCTTGTTGGGGGCATCGGTTCCCCCCACGGGGACCTCGTTCCCCACGTCGAGCAAATCGGCGCTAGTACGGTTTCGCATCCAGCCCTGAGAACGGTCACCGAATTATACTTACATTTATTCAACACAACGTTCTTTGATGATTTGACTTTCATATAAGCTATAATTATTATTCCACAATTATGGTTTCTAATTAGGTTAATTAACCAATAATTAGGACGGTACCGTATGTAGATCTGCTTCGCTGCACCATGGTCAACGACTCTCTAGGTTTCCAGCGCCTGTCATATAATTTGTACCCAATTGTAATTTTTGTGACCAGTTATTGCGGAAGCTTGTATTGTTTTGTAGTTCGTCTCTTTGTAGTATATATTTTTCTTGATGAAGATAAAATAAAAGTGAAAAGTAGAATAACATTTTTAGTGACATTCATGCTATTCTACTAGGCACGCTTAACTCAGCGCACACCTATGGCAACCACAGTATAATTTTGCCCTGATTCTGGCAACACAGCAAAGTTGTTGACATGAACTTCTACAAGCCGGGTATGAAAATGGTGCACCGCGAAGACGTTAACCGTCCTAATTAATGGTTAATTAACTTAATTAGAAACCATAATTATTGGATAATAAGTGGATTATTGGAAAGTCAAATCATCAAGGAATGTATTAGTATTGAATAATTGTAAGTGTTAAATAATTAGTAATTAATTTTATGGCTGGATACGAAACCGTATTAACGCCACCCCTGAATGGGATTTATAATTTTTAAATTTAGAAATAAAGACAAAATGAAAAACCTATACAAAATTAGAATACAATACTGATATTGATATATAATATAAATTACCTCGAACCTTAGGACTAGAGCATTAGCTCATTTGTCCCTCCAAAGTCATCACAACAAACTCTTCAGAAACATATCGGTAGAAATTGAGATGGTGTTCAGACCAACATTTTGCTATGCCACATTCAAATTCAGTATCAGTCGAATTAGCTACAACATAATTGAATAATGAACCGCATGCTCTTTCCTAACGTTTAGATTTGGTTTGGATTTAAAAACCTTCAAAGAATGCCCCTCTAGTTTTCTGGAATATAGATCTTTGCAACAGCTTCTTTTCCTCAACATTATCAACATATTTTAAAATTTTAACTGTTTAAGTTAGATCAACCCTTTTCTTTCTGAAAGAGAGTAGGCGAGTCTAATGCCTTCAACCATGGTATGAAAATAAAAATTAGACGTTTTTAGAATTGGAATGGATTTAAAAATCATAAATAACTGAATGAATTAAAGTTTCTTTATAAAGATATGGTACAAAATGATCGAATATACTTCTATACATGGGATTGACTGTTTGAATAACACTTATACTTTACTGTATTTGTATTCTGCCTTTTTTCGCGAACTTATATATTTTAAAGATCGTCAGAGGAGGACAGAAAAAAATAAAAATAAAATTTTGTTTTCTTATTTTTAGCAAATGGTTTTGCCAAAATCATCTAGATGGAGCAAAAAATAAAAATATAAATTTATTGGTGAATGTAAACCATGTAGGCCTACTAATGAGATTGAGATGGTTAAATGCTTTAAATTTATATAATAAGGAAGAAATGCAGTGGCGGGAGTAATACAAATAAGGAAAAACTTTTTTTTATTTTTTTATTTCCAATTTTCATGGTGGTGGTTGCGCTAATTGGCCAAAAATTTAATTTAATTTTTTTTCGAAATTGCCATTATTGGTGGGTGGTGGGTTCGCTAAACAAGATATAAAAAGTGTTGGCTTATAAGTCCTAAACATGGTATTCATTTACTATTAAGGAGAGGAGAAAAGAGTGAAAATTAAGCTTTATGAAAGTGAAAAGAACACGCTCTATATTAATGCATGTTCTAATCATCATATAGATCAAAGTAGAACATGTCAGTCTGTTTCCTACTAATAGTATTTGACCTCAAAAATTTCTAACCTCTATTAGATGTTCCTCAAAATGAAGAAATTATTAAAGGCAATATAAAGAAGCTGATTGAGTACAGACGTGATGAAGCTGGAAAATTACAGAAAGTAAGCACAATATGTATAGTAATTGTGAAATACACAACTGAGTTAAAAAAATGCAAAGATGGAGAAATCAGACCTTGTCTAGTTGGAGGTTGGGATATGGTCAGCTTGAGAGCTAACAAGGAACATGGTCGGACAAGTGTCCCTGCAGTCATGTGAAGCTGTTAGTAAGTTTTTGATTGCAGGCCGTGAAAAGTAATGACATCACTAAGAAGTAATCTGTGCATGCCAGAATGTTCAGTTCTCCTCACATGGATTCTAGAATGCAATTTGGCCCAAATCTATGTTGTGCAGAGAACATAAGATGGTCACAGACGAGTGTTCTAGCGTCTCGCCCACTCATTGCGCAAATCGAAAGCTCCCTATGTTGTGAGGTCATGTGGAGCTGTTGTGAGGTTATTTTGAGCTATTATGAGGTCGTGTAGATGTTGAGAAGTCATGTGAAGTTGTTTTGAGGTCAGTTGAAGCTGTTGTGAAGTCAGGTGAAGTTGTTGTGTTCTCATGTGGACCTTTTGTGAGGTCATGTTGAGAGGTCAAGTGAAGCTGTGGAGAGGTCATGTGAAGCTGTTTTAAGGTAAAGTGAAGCTTTTGTGAGGTCATGGGAAGCTGTTGGGAGGTCATGTGAAGCTGTTTTGAGGTCAAGTGAACCTATTGTGAGGTCATGGGAAGCTGTTGTGAGGTTATGTGAAGCTGTTGTGAGGTTATGTGAAGCTGTTGTGATGTAAAGTAAAGCTGTTGTAAGGTCATGTTGAAGCTGTTGTAGTTTCATTGTAATATATTCTGTATAATTCAATTATCATATTTACTATTACATTTCTGTTATCTGAAGTGGAGCTTGTACAATCAGGTAGCTATACAAGTATACAGTATGTTACTAGCTATAACTCACCTTATCCTTTAATTTTCTTTCTTTTAGGTGATACGAACTTTCAACATAGAACAAAGGAAAGCTTCAAAATCTGTTGCAACAAGAAAGGTAAAAAATGTTACCGGTATCCCTTTTTTTGCTTATATGTTTTGTGGTGTGTTTACAAAAAAATGAGCAAGAAATGCATTGTATGTCAAAGACATGTAGTTGAAAAGATCAACATATAAGGCTCTTGTATATAAGGCTATGTTCAGACACAACAAGAATGCCAATGTAACGTTAATCGTGAGGTTCAAACTTATGCGCAGCATAGCAAACGCCAGTATTTAATGTGTAAACACTGGCAAATGATAACCCATTTTAATATGAGTGTTAATAGGGGAGCCAAGTGATCAAATCCAATTAAAACCCTGCTTCTTGTGCTGAACCGTAGTCTTCAGCAAAAGAAGCAGGAACCATACCTCTCAGCCAACTGCACAGCTAAAAAAAAATTCTAAAGAAATGACTTATCCCAACTAGGGACCCTTGCTCACGATGTACTACCAATAATAATTTAATTCCTATAAATTATGACTATGAAACACCTTGGTTATATAATGTTTTTTCCAATGTTGGTTGAGATTACTCATTAAGAGAGCAACAATTCAAGGATTAAAATTAATGATAATGAGAATTATTGATTTCTGTATTTTTATTTTCTTACTACAGGCTTGGCCCAAATTTGGCTCAGCAAGTAATGATGGTTCAGGGCCTAACCCTGCTACTACATCTGTTTCTGATGACATCTTCATGCAGTTCATCACAGCCAAAGATGTAAGCTGATCCTATGCATTTATTCTCGTATTATTATTATTATTATTATTATTAAGATTTTAGGTTAACTGATTGCCATCTGTGTTGTGCCAACATTTTTTTCTAGTATGACCTCTTATTGGCAAACCATATCTTAGCCTGGAAACATGACACTGGATTGAATGGGTGATGATTGGCCTATAGTTTTTTTTTTTTAATATATTTTTTAAAGTTATTATTAATCTTTTGAACCTGGTAAATGGTGCCGTAATTAGCTTTCAGAGATAGATATGTTCGTCTTAATCTTATAATATACGACTGCATTTATGAACTATTTTTATAATATAATAATTGTTATTTTTATTATAATCACATTGTTTATTTTTGTTCCTGAATTTCTTATGTTATTGTTTGTAGGATTTGAATACAGCATCTGAGGTTGAAGACCCGATCAAGCGACTGGCCGCTGCCCAAAAGATGGTCATGTGCCGTGTCTGTAAAGGGGACCATTGGACCACAAAATGTCCATACAAAGACACTTTAGAGCCGCTTCAGAAGGAGCTCGCAGCAGCTGATAAACCACCAGAAGAAAATGGAGGTAATTTTATTGCAGATTACAGAAATTCATAATAATTTGAATTTAAAATTTAAAGGAAAATGATATCCTCGGAGTTGATGATCAAACTTGCTTAGTTTAAAGAGTAGGATTATGGATAAACTGATTTTCTGGAATTCTGTACCATCATCTTGTTTCCCGTCATCCACAACTGAGAAGAGACATGTGCCCACGATTGAAATAGAGCAGGGACTTGGATGCCCAGTAATCTGGTCATAAATCTTGACATCACTGTGTTTCTTCATGTTTTCCTCATGCCCACATAGTCCACAATTGAGATAGCCCTATGTTCATTCTCTATAGACAACCTTCAATGAGGCCATTGACATCCATTAAATTGCCCATCGGAACCCATCAAATAAGTATATTATGTCAGCCAGTGGTGGAGGCTTACGAATGGAAGCCTTCAAGGAACCCCATGGAAACTCAGGATGAAAGCCATGCATACCCCTCTCAAAGAGGCCCATGGGAATACTTCAAGAGATATGAATTTTACATAACCCCACAAACTACAGATTAATTATGCAAATGAAGTGAAAGCTGAAACTGTTGGTAGCATTGTTTATTTGTATCAAAAGTTGGAATTTTATATTTGAATTCTACACAGTTGCTGAACCTGGTGCAGTAGGAGCTTCTACTGGCAAATACATTCCACCAGGCAAGAGAAAGGGGGCAGAAGCATCAAGAGGCGGTGAACGTGATAATAAGAGAGGTAGGTATACAAATTATTGATAACAATCTAATTCAACAGCGGATGGTCACAAAGAATTCTTGCTCCGGTAGGAGTTTGTGCACTATCTGTTGTAAAGATACAAATGTAGATCGAGTTCTTACTCAGAGGATTGAATAGTCAGGTCTCCATATAATCACCTTTTATTGAAGTGGAACTGAATCTCAAGAGCCCTGGTACAAATCCTGTAAGCATCCAGAGATTTTCTCATCAATAAATCAACTGTAAGTGTAATGTAATGTGGAACTCTACTAACAATGTATGCATCACAACGTTTATTTCATCTAATCAGTTGCAAGTCACTCACTGTTGCATATGAATGATAATTTAAGAACACTATAGTGGAAAATAGTAATAAAAGCCTTGCAGGCTTTTATTGCCCAATAGCATGTGAAATAACTTTAAAACTAGGCATAAGCCATCGTTCATGTTCATGAACACTGTACATAGCAAGGTTGGTTCTCCTTTGCTGGGCCTAGCAAGGCGGTGTGATAGTAAATATTTGTGTTATTGGTTTTTTGCACACAAACCACAAAACATACAAATTTCTGTTGATAAAAAATGATTGATATTTAACAATCTAGATGATGGGGCAACCATTCGTGTCACAAATTTGTCAGAGGACACAAGGGAGCCTGACCTGCAAGAGTTATTCCGACCTTTTGGAGCAATTCAGAGGATATATCTAGCGATGGACAAGAATACAGGCATGTCAAAGGTTGGTAAAATGTCAAAGGCTATTAGCGTGTTTCTCTTGTTGATTCTATGACTGTTACACTTAATCTTCTCACTATTTAAATATATGCTTTCATTTTTATGTTAAATATACAAATACCAATGGAATGTGATTCTTTTAAATCTTATAAGTTACATACTTTTGCTAATTAATTTTTTAGTTTTTTTTTCAATTTGAATACATCTTTTTTTTTAAATATTTATAAAATGTTATTTATTTTATGTGCAATTGTAATGAACTATTGTGATATTCTTATGCAACATTATTGTAAAAAAGGATTATGAATATCTTTTAGTTTTAGAATTGTGTTACTACTATTTACTTTAAATATTTATTAAATTATTAGTTTTGTATATCAATTTTCTGTATTAAACTATTGTAAATAAGTTAAATTTCATTAATGTATTTTATGTTTTAAAACATACATGTATTTATTCATTCCTGTTATTTTTTCCTCAGGGATTTGCATTTATTAATTTCCACCATCGTGAAGATGCGGCTCGTGCCATTGCTGGGGTATCCGGATTTGGTTATGATCATCTTATTCTGAAAGTTGAGTGGGCAAAGTAAGAAGCAAATATTTAAATATATTCCTTTATTTTGATGCTAGTAAATTATAATGGTGATCTACCTACCTGGATCTACCTGGATTTTGAGATGTAAAGCTTGTAGCATTTGTGCCACTCTTGACTTGATTATTGTCAGCTTGCTTACATATAGGTTGTATATCTCATTGTATAAGGTTCTTGTCTCCCCAGTTGTTTTAAACATTGGTTTTATTTTATCACACTAATTGGACTATATAAATATTTCAGTGTAATAATTTTAATGTTCTTCTTTTCCAGGCCCTCAGGGACTCAGTGATGTCAATGTTTACACAGCAATTCACATAGAATAGACCCATTCAGAGGAACAACTTTTGGGCAACATTTGATGATCATCATTACATGGTAGTAAATTCTATGATCATGGTGAAATGATATCTAGCCTACCCCCAATGTGCTGGGCCTTTCCACTGCTGTGGCATTCAGAGCCCATTTCTTAGTGGATCTGGCTGTATTCTGCCAATTTACAATGTGCTAGGCTTGAGCTTATCGTCGTCCTGCGGGGGAATTTATGGCCTGTGTTACAGGAACCTAACTGTGTGAAGCCTAAATTCCAATGTGTCAGCATATTCATTAAACAAAGGCAATTCAACAACAGTACGCACATCTCTGCTTACGAACATAGTGCGTGCATCAACAATCTAATACTAGTTGCAAGTACAGCCATCAATTATTAGTATATTCGTGCCATACGTTTTATGGTGTGTGTTACTATTTTATTTGTGAAAATTCACCAACAAAATGAAGAGTTGTAGCAATTGAAAATTTACAATTAAAAAAAAAAATCATGTTCTTATACAACATTAAACTGTCATTTTAGTAATGTTGGACTAAGGTGCAAAAAACGTTCATTTGATTAGATGCAGAAAATTTATTTCTTTTTTTTTTTGCGATGCGAGTCTCACCACAACATCGGTAAAATTAATGTTGAAATAACGATATAATTTCAGTCTAATGTTAGTGAAAAATATCATTAGGCCTTTTTAATTACCGCACAACGTACGATTATCATGTCAACTAAAACGCGCATGGGTAACTCTTCACACACTGACGGTTGGTTTGGTTGCTATGGTTTTTGTGACGATCATCGTGTAGGGGCATGCGGCGCGTAGAATGTCCTTGTCAGAATTATAACCTGTGCATCCTGTTGTTGAATTTATTAATTCTCATTAAATGTTCTAGAGAATTTTATCATAATTTTGTGCTGCTGTGGCCTTTTAGGGCTTTTTCACAGGGCTCAGTAGACCAAATGACATTTTTAGTATTGCAAGTACTGTACAGTAATGATTTTGATCCCGTCAACATTGACAAAATGCAGTAGTTTATCATTGATATACCGTAAAATCTTGAATAGATCTAAAAGCCCTGGACGTTTTTTTGGGGGGGGGGGATTTTTTGGATCGGCTTATTTTCGAGGCTACTTTTGCAAATTAAAGATGGTGGCTTCTTTTCAAAATAAATGCTGCAATTTTTGGGAATTACAGTTGAACTTGCCTAAGTCAAATCAAAAATGCCATTGAAAACCACTTACAGATTGTTAATTTCAAGAAGAGTTGAGCAATTAAGTTGAAAGATTGTTGATTGGTGAAAAACTAAAAGGAGGACTGAATAAGGAGTGATTGATAATGCTTGGCTATAAGTTATTTTACAGTATAACAACAAAATATTTTCTATAAACTTGTGCTACCATAATGATTTTCTAGGCTTGATGGACAATCAATTACTTTCTAGTCTGTAAGCTTTTATTCATATTAAAGATATACTGCCTGTCAAAAATATTGTAAAAAAACTCTTAAAATTGTTACTAGTTCATTTATATCGATGAAATTATTAACTTCCAACTCGAAACAGATTTTTTTTTTTAGCTGATATTACAGTTTCACCACAAAAAATCCTTAGGTTATTAGCCAATTTAAGGATCCATGTAGGAATACAGGAATGTTATTTACATTTCCATTAATTGATAGAAATCTTTTCCTCTTTCAGATTTTTATTTTTAATTTGATTCTAGTAACTTGTTTAAAATTTGATCAATTAAAATATCGAATTGAATTACAGTACAATATTTAAGATTTTTTTAAATCTCAAGACAGACAGTATATTTTTAACTTGTAATTATTTCAAGACTTTGGATTGTGTAATGGAATGTGAGGCACATTGGAGCAATGACTGAATTAAACACCATGTACAATAGTTAAATGAAAAGTCCAACTTTTGTCATAATTGTACTTGCACTGTCATGAAAAGCAATGTTACTGTACAATAACTGTGTAAGCATGATAATTGAATATTACTATCATCAATATTTTTTATTCGGTATTACACGTCTCCCTCTATAATGACCCCTCCAATTACAGATTACATCCAATTAAAGACCATTTTTGTGTAGTCCCAAATTAACAAGTCTTTTATCTTTATTATTCTAATTAGAGACCAAAGCTGCTAAAGAACATGGAACCCTGGTCCCAAAAGTGGTCTTTAATTCGAAGGAGACCTGTATTATGGATTCTATCAAGGCTCATCAAAACATACAATTTCAGAAGTCCATTTTTTTTTCAAGTAGAGTAAAGTTAAACAAATGGCTAAGACTAAATTTAAAAATTAAAAATATAAGCAATACTATTGTAAAGAAATATATAAATACAATACCACTTAAACTTAAAATAGGAAAATATATAATAGGCCTACAATAAATAACTCTAAAATATGATATTACATTGATCAATTTTGGACCTTTTGCAGACGACACAACTTCATTGAGCAGCTCTCTTGTTTGCTTGTTTTTGAAGGATATATGCTTGGGAATATATATTTTCGTTAAAAAAAAACCCCATTTCGATGACAACTACGGTGTTTTCTGACATTTACTCTTTGAGTTTCGATGGGTATGAAAAAAATACACCCTGTTTTGTCGATTTGTGAGGGGGAAAACGACTACGATGGTGTAATATACAAGCACACTCTGCTTTACTCATTGGGAAGACTATTGTACTCTTTGAAAGATAATAATTATGTTCTTGATATGAACATAGTACCAGTAAGATTTTTAAGGTATGAGAGACTGAGAGGGGAATTTCCGGACAGATAGAGGACTAATTCTCCGTTTTCTGGCTGATCAGCCCCGATCATGGGGAGGCGGTGTGGACTCTCACGCACCCCCTACCGCCAAATCCTGCATCCGCCCAAGATCCAACAGAAGGTTTTAGGGCCTAAACCTAAAATTGTTAACTGACATTCCCTCTCCAACCACCCCACCCTACCAGCAACACCACTGGCTCCAGCACTCAAGCATTTTGTAAACCCCTCTACAACTGTCATTCTTTTTAATAGCAGCAACGAAGAATGTGATATTTTTTATTCTTGTTTTACCTGGGTTAACAAGTTGAAATGTATATGCATAGGCTTCTGGCCCTATTAGAAACATATTATGGATTTTATAAATTTCTAAAGTATGTTTGGTTTATAATTTTTAGATGAAGAAATTTCTTAATTGAATGAAAATAATCTTTGGCTATGTTATCAGTTTTGGATAATATTCGCAAATCTTCTATATTATGATTTTTAATATTACTGTATTAATTGTTGACTAATTTTTATTTTAGGAGGGATAAAGGCCTTGTAAATTTATCTATAACATTTTAATACTAATGATTGATCAATAAAAGTCAAAATCCTGTTCAAGAAGGGTTCTACGGAGACTTACAGTGACCTTCCGAGTTTAGAAGTTCACACATAAACCCAGAAACACGTAAGGCCACTTTAAGCTTACGTAATGTAAACTTCACTACACGTACGTAGTCAGTATCGCGGTCGAGAACACGTACGTGGAAGTTTGACCGTCAAAATGTGGTCTTTCTTTTCGAGAGATCCAACTAAGGATTTTGGATTTGAAATCGGAGAATGTATAGATTCTCTTGAAAATAAATCCATATGGTCGCTATTTAGTGGTAAACGAAAGGTGAAATTGCTTTGTTTTTATAATTATTTCGAAATCCGTAGAAATTGTTAGCCTAGCCTCCTACCTAGCCTAGGCCTAGGCCTAATCTCCAGATAATGTGCAGGGCCTACAGCACATGATCATTGCAGATCGGAGGACATTTGATAGAACGGTGGTAGGCCTAGAATATGTTAAGGGGCCTAGGCCTACCTAGGCATCGGTAGGAACCAAATTGCAAGTCTAGCCTAACTAGCTGTAGGGTATAGGTGATCAAAAGTATAAACTGGTGGTTAATAGTTTATACTTGATTTACTTGATTCCCAGGATGCAATAACTTCTGTGATCCTGGCACTGTAGGGGCCTAGGCTATATATAGGCCTACTAGCTTAGGGCTAGGCCTAGTAGTAGGCCTAGAGCTAAGCTTAGGCCTACAGTATAGGCATAGGCTAGGCTAGAAGCCTAGGATCTTCGTGATGCTGCTGCAGCAGTGGCCCACAGGCAATGCAGTAAGCCAAATCGGTGTACCGCTGGAGCAAGTAGGGCCCATCTGATTCCAGCAGTTGACGGCCATCCACTGCTTCATGCCTGCATGTTCAGTGTTTTTTTGAGGTTGTTAAAAAACCACAGGCCATCAGCTAAAAACTAAATTAGGTTCCCGGAAAATCGCATTGATATGCTTCAACAATGGCGACTAGATGTAAAACTGTGCAAGAGCACTCACTAGTCCCTTTGGATGCATGATAACCTACAGTAAGTGTATCGAGTTGCATCGCCGGCTATGCTCCTCAGATGGAGACACACCACCTGATGTCGATGGTGTGCTTAGCATCTGTTCAGCACTCTTTCAGAAAACAATCCTGTCAGAACCAATCGGAGGGAGGCATTGTATTTGTATGGTCCAGGCTGATCTCTCCCAGAACCTTTACTTTTCACATTCTTGATAGAGCAGCCTCTTGAATTGGGCCGTCTTAAAATCCTTCACCCTTACCTCGAGACGCAAATCCTGAATGATGAAATTGACTTCCTGTGACGTATGGTATATTTCCGGGTCACAGTAAACTGCTACACCTCCCCCATGTGCATAGTATGAACTCCATTATGCAGAATTTAAGAATATACCTTTATATTTAATTTAGTCAAATGGAGAAGAAGTTTCAGTCTTTGTGTTTGATGTGAAGCAAGCAAGTGAAGCTAATCTACAGACAGCCAAGAATGCCCACAAACGACTAAAAACACTCCGTCATCCAAACATCTTACAATATATTGATGGTCTTGAGGTAAAATATTACTCATAAATACATATAATGCTAGGCCTAGATTAGTTATCCTATATTTTATGAGAATACACTTTTTATTTAATTATTTTATAATTTAAAGGATAAAAAATATAAATCCTAATTCTTTCTATTATGTTAAAATTAAGAATATTAATATTAAGTAACATTAATAAAGAGGGCTATAGACAAGAAATAACAACAATCATGAAGGCTAGTGACTGTGTACATTCTACACCAGTGGTTTGGCAGGCTATATCACAATGGCATAAGTGTCATGAAGAAACTGGGTTATACTTTGCTACCATATGCTTGTTTAAGATATATCTAGATTGATAAATGGATGCAACTCTCTTTTAGATGTAGATAGTCTCATTCTTCCAAGCATGGAGGAAATTAAAATTTGGTGTTTGTCAAAACAAACCGATTCATGAGGGGATTTGATGTTCACTACCTGGGGACGATGCCCTGAGTGGAGTGTAAGAGGATGATGGTCAGTGCACATGTCCAGAACCCCTCAAAGAGGAACGTGGCACTTTCCCCTCCCCGAGATCACCACTAAAATGGAGATGTGTGTATTGAGAACTTTTCAATAGGATTTGAAGACACACTGTTTTCCTCTGTGATTTTCTTCATGTATTCAAATAAATATATTTGATATTTATGTCAAACAAAATTTGTGATTTATACTGTAGACAGAAAATGTAATTTATGTGGTGACGGAGGCAGTAATCCCTCTAGAGAAATATATAAAAGAAAAGAAGTCAAGTGAGCTGGCTACATCTTGGGGTCTACACCAGGTGACGGTAAGAAGTAACAGTCGCTTATACCATGTGTAGTGGAAAGAACTTTCATGATTGATTGAAATATATAAGTAAGATAAAAAATAATTAGCTACTTATTCCCACCCGCTTCATTCTTATAGTCATCTGCTGAAGTTAAAAAAATATTTTTGTGGATTTATCTTTATAATCCCAGTAGTGTAGCTTGTTTTAACTGTTGCACAGATCAATAT